CCATCCAATTTATTTACCAGAATAATTGCGGTATGAAGTCCGCTAGTTTCTCACTTTAACTCGCCGATTTGAACCCCCAAAACGCCTCCGTTAGGAGAATATTCCGTCAATGTGTCCGGTTCCCGATGACCTCATCGAAAACGAAGAGTTAATTTTTTGACCCGCGGGGCTCCGTCTAACAGGCGGTCGACCCGGGAAATTTGGGCGGGTCGTTTCGAACCATATTTTATGGCGCTTCAATGTTATAATTCAATATTGGTGGTGAATTAAATAAAAAATATTTATATAATTGTCCATTTTTGTTGATTTCGATCCAATTTTTTTTAATTTTGGAACAAAAGTTTTCATTCTAATTTTTGATTTTTTTATTTCTTATTATACAATTTCGATGGAATTAAAAGACAATGTTTAATGACGAAGGGACGGAGCATGGAAGCCGTAAAAAGAATTAATCCTATAGAATATACTCGAAATTCATTGAAGAATTAAGCAAAGGGCGGCGAGTTTCTTTTTTCCATAAATGTCTTGAACTCGTAACCAAATAGATCTTAAAACTTTTAGAAAACACAAATCATTACCAAATATAGTAAAAAACGAGATAATACTTAATTCTACTAGATTTCCTTAATTTTGGAAGCACTAATTCGCCTAATTGCAATCCTAAATTTCAATAAAAAAAAAAAAAAAAAGAAGAAAACAAATTATATCATCTGATTTCTACTATGCTAGAGCATGTGAAATTTATGAAATAAATCTTTATTATTTATATACACAACAAGACACAAAAATAAATAAATTCACATTGGTGGTGTGTGTATCAACGGTTTAACATACAAATAACCAAAATTCTCTTCAAAAAACCAAAGTCTTCAAACTACGTACCGTTCGTTCATCACGAAGAAATTTTCTCATATACGACGAACGCCCTTAATTTTTGTGCAATATTTTGGAAAATTACGGTAATATATACTTTATTATATTATTGTTCAAATAAATTACGATACAAATAAAGATAATAAATAAAAAAAAAAAATCAAAACCTAACAAAACACCTTCAATCAACAACATCATAAATCTTAACGCTACCGCAAGACAACATCCGCCGGAGAACGGAGTTGAACGACTTATTACTCCGGCAGCCACCATCGGATCGTCTCTTTCTCTTATATTTAGGGTAGCCGAGCCAGTCATAGGAGTAGTCTTCTTCTCTTGAGAAAGTGTAGCTTCTCAGAAATACCCGTCTGCATGCGACGTACGCATCTGCCGCCTTCTTCCTGTCTCGGCCGCATCCACCAACACCGCCATCATCGCCGCCGCCCTTGCCAATACTATCGCAACCATCATTGCCGCCCTTGTCAATATTCTCGCAACCACCGGAGATCAAAGACTTGATGAACTCAGCATCGGATTCCGGCCACTTGTAAACGACGTTGAAATACGTGGATCCCTCCGGAACAAGCTTCTTGTTTGCGCCCATCTTTTTTTCTTGCTGCAAATTTGTTTAGGTCAGATATATATATATATATAATTACATTAAATACCTTTTCAAGTAGGATTTGAAGACATGCAACGAGGAAGTTTAATTAGGACTAGGACACTTTAATAATTGGTTGTTTATTTATTTATTTATTTTTATTGTTCCCGAATTAGGTGACTAGGATTCGACCCTCAATCCTAAATATGGTACCAATAAGATTTGTATTCGTAAGAATTTTGTTCAATTTAACGGAATTCCTTTAAAATTTGACGGAATATTCTATTGTCAATTATCTTTGATAAACTAAGAAAAGATAAAAAATAATTAATTTTAGAATTTACAAATAATCTTCGCAACCAAAAAAATATAACTTCCAATATTATAAAAAATAGAGTAAATTAAAACCAACCCCCTGAGGTATGGTCAAATTACGAAAAAACCCCTCAAGTTTGGATAATTACATCTACCCCTCAACTATGAATCTTCTTACATATCCACCCTTATAATGTCAAATTCAGCATAATCATCTAGATTCCGTGGAATGTTCTCTAGTTTGAACTCGTTAGATTGAACTCGTTTAATCAAAAATACAGTTTTTGATGCACCACAATCTGATATATATAGGACAAAAAACACATCTTATGATTATCTAGCTTCAAGATGTGGAGCTCGAATAGGATAGAACGGTTCCAAAATTGAGAATATTCCATATAATGTATAAGATTCCACTAAATTCGAAACCGCAAGAATGGACGTGTAAGAAAATTTATAGTTGAGGGGTGGTTGTAATTATCCAAACATGAGGAGTTTTTTCGTAATTTAACTATACCTCAGGGGTTGGTTGTAATTTACCCCAGAAAATATTAATATGCAAATAATTGTTTAGAATTTTTTTTTTGTTTTTGATATGACTTTGAATTTAGGAACATATCTAATAATTATAGGGCTTATTTTACATAGCCCTAAGAGGCAAATTAACTAGGGATAAACCTAATGAAAAATCTTCCTTTGACATACTGAAAAATCTTCCTTTGACATACTCCTGGAGTTAGGAAAGTACAATACTACTCCTACAGGACAAATACGCTGGAGAATAAATAAAAAATTGACAAAATGAAATTCTCATATAATCGCGCATTTCCCAAAAAAATCTAAATTACACGCAACATATCAGCAGAGAAGATTGTCGTCTCCAATCTACCCCGCCTGTGGAAACCGCCGACCACAAAACCCACCGTCTTTCACCTCCGACGGACAACAAAGCTACTCGTTTCTTCGCCGTCGTATTAAAACTCCTCCCAAAAACCAGAACAATGGTGAAAAAGGCAAAAGCTATGAAGAAAACAGGTACTTTTTATAAAAAAAAATATGTAAATGGGTATTGACACTGTTTCTCGATTTTTTTTTTCTTTTTTCCGTTTATATGTTCTGTGTTTCTGACGAATCGTCTTCAGACTACTGGCTGGAAGATGAAGAGACGGGCGAGCACAATTGGGAATCTGCAGACTCTTGGGATTAAACCTATTTTGTTACTTTCGATAATGTTTTGCTTTAGATATTGCACTTTTGTGTATTATGCTTTTATTATAATTAAAAGTTTCATCCCATTGTCCCAAATATTTTCCCCACAAACAATCAATTAGCTCCTGAGAATTTGCAACTGATAAACCTACATATAAACTGAGACTTGAAGACAACAACAATAATATAACTACATGTAACTATGACTACAAATACAGAAAAATACTTGTTTATATTTACAACACATGCAATTTCATACACGAATAAACAACTAAAACATACCCAAAACTTCAATCTAACGTAGATATAGATGCTTATTTCCAAAGTAATCGTTCGAGTCATCATATTCATACATAGAGAGTTAGAGTTGGATTATATGCTTTTCAGCACAATATCATTACATACAACTATACGCAACTACACATAATTGTGGACCGAGTGATGTTATGCACACGAGCAATACACATTGAACTAGTTTGACACACCATCAACAAATAGGAAAACACATCAACGAATGCAAAACCAAACACCAATTTGTAATTAGTTCAATTTCAGACGTCAACAAACAATAAAACACAATCCAGCAAAATAAATTCAGAAAAATGTTAAAATTCTAAGCCATGATCCGAATACAAGTTCTCTTGTTGTGGGTGCCAATGTGATTACACCTGCTGCACTTCATCTTCCTTGATATGTTTTCCCAACAGAAGGAATTTTTTTGTTCTTCGGCCCGCATAAACGCGAACACACTGCATAAACTCCTTCACACCACCTCAAACACAAAAACCAACAAAAGCATATAAAACTAGTACTAAACTATAACTAGTCTTACAAATATATCTTACATATGGATACACATTGGCAACGAACTCTACATACGCGAAATCTGATAAACATTACTACATGTAACTACCAAATGAAAAACACAAAAACAGAGAATACATCAACACAGGTTCACTCCATAAACACATCTAAAGACAAAAACAAAAAAAAACACAAGATCTACAAAAATTATAAGCGATTTACATAATACATAATTATTCGTCGACAATTAATTCTCATGTGTTAAAATTTAAAAACCACTTACAGAGACGACGTCAACGTATTCGAAAATGAATGATACAGATATCCACAAATTACACCAAATACGAAAATCGAAAGGTTTGAAACAAAACAAATATCTCACGAAATATCGAAGAAAAATCAGTTTCCCTGATATGTCGCACGTTTTCCGCATTCACAGAGAATTAAAATGTTGGGATCACGTATACATGGCAACGTCCACGTTTAGGAAAAGTGCTACTAAGGGCACTTTAGCTACTTCATGTATGCCCAGGGGGGTCTGTCAAATTATTTTCGAAATGAGGGAGGTTAGTCATAGAGTGGAATCTGCATAGTTGTTAATTAGATATAATTTGGAAATTAGGGTTCTCTAAAATAATCCCATAATTATAATTCATCATCTACATATATTCTTTATTTGAATCCTTTTATATTTTATTTGATTATATATGTTTTTCTATTGTTACTATTTCATCCACTAAATAAAAGGTTAAAGTTAACTACATTATGCATTGGAGGACTATTAATTGTAGGGTTGAGGGATGAAAATGAGAAACTAGAGACATGAGGGACTAAATAATAATACAAGGGGTTATTAGTGAGACAAAAATGTATGAGAAATAAATAAAACTCAAGTAAATAAGACAATAGAAAATGAAAGACCAAATAAAATGGTATCTTGGAAACGATTCCTTGGATTCAAATGTAACGAGTTTGGCTCACAATTATCAAGCAATCATTGGGTTAAAATATTAAAAAAAAATTAAAAAAATAAAATAAAAAAGAAGAAAGTTGAAATCATCCTACATATCTGAAAAGTACTACAATGTCTAACCAATGTATCAAATCTCCACGCCGTTTTATTTTTTCTGTATCAAAGGGTCGGACAAAGTGGTAAACGCCATTACAACACGAGTTCGATAATAATCTTCTCTTATCTTCACTCTGCTTTTTGTTTCGAATATCTTTTCGAACTCGAATAACGAATGCCACTCGTACACCTACCCACAAACTTGAGAACCTCATCGATCACAATCACGGGCAAAGCCACGGCCAATACCAACAGCCACTCGTTCAGGCTGAGAGGCACAATGCCGAATATTTGAGCAAGAAAAGGCACATACAGGATCAAGAAATGCAGCCCAAACGAGATCGACATTGCCAGAAGCAGCCATGGGTTGACCCATGGAGGCATGGTCAAAAGGCTTCCATCTTCGGACAGTGCATTCAGTGAATTGAACATCTCGATGGCAACAAGAACAGAGAGTGACAGAGTCATGGCTTTGATTTTTCCAGTCTGGAAATAGTCGCACGGGTTGTCGAATTTGATTTCTTGATTCCCAGCCATGAAGGGCGAAGCGGTGAAATTGTCCCACGTTGAGCACTGTCCCCAGTTAGACAGCTGCGAATATGTCACGAGGCTGTGGCCATCTCCGCTGAGGTCAATGCCTAGGAAAGACGAACGAGTGTACCAGATTATGAATATTCCCACTGTTGCTATACCAACGTAAGCTCCAATAA